AAACCAAAATGTCTTTTTTTTCCCTAATGATAATAAGACCTGCAAGTAGGGGAACATTCTGTAGTGAATTTTTGCTCTGCGCAAGTTTTTCACTTTGACTCGTGCTCCCATTCCTATGGAAACTTAACTTGAGTCTTCACTACGGAGGGTGCAGGGCCAAAAACAGAAGAGCAGGAGGGAGAGAAGGTGAGGGAGAGGCCATAGTTAGCAGGAACAGTCGTCGGCTTTTCCTCAGTGGTGATCAGCTCAAGGCCCATAGCTCAGACTGTTGGCAGTCAGGAAGCTGTCTCTATGGTAACAAGAGTAGCAGCGTTATTTAATGTGATATGTTGCAAAAAACGTAAAGTGAAATCTGCTATTTTGACTCAGAATAAAATATCCAGTACATTCATTACTGTTATGGCGGTTGTTGGTTTCATCAACAGATTTAAGCGAGACATTAAAAAGATTTGTTCTGTAAAACATACTGGACTATACAACTGTTAGTGAAGCATTTCTTCTATTCTTTTTTAAAATGCAACATTAGATTCATAAGCTTAATATGAAATCATATGTATCTAGGTACTTCCAAAGCATCATTTTTACCGGTCCATGTTCAGAGGGGTTGATGTCAGCAGACTCTTTTTGTGTTAATGCCCAGACAGATCTTGCTGCTGGGTCTTCTTAACTTGGTGGAATGTCTTGTCCCCTATGGCTGTCACTGAGTCATAGAAGAGTATCAGTTGAGAGACAGGCATATAGCATCTCAGATACCTGAATTCATTCTGGGGATATAAATGCCTTTTTGTAAAACAAGATGGCGTGATGGACACAGACTCTTAGAATGGAAGAATGATGAAGTCATGGCAAAAGGCTGCAGGTCTCCCTTCATGTTTCCATGCTTTAAATGAACCCTTATCTATTCTATTTCTCTCTTGAAACATGAACAATGATTGTGTTGCTTGTTAAAGGTTCTTAAAAATATATGGATTTTTATTATTTCAATCTCTATACTGAACTTGAAGTTAAACTGCTTGTGGTTTTTCACCAAATTAAAATATTTATGTTCCTGCAAATGTCAAGCTCATGTTGCAAACCTGTGTAGGAGAACCCCTGATTTTGATGTTCTATTCTAAATCACTTTAATCTAAAGATGTCAGCTAGATACCAGTTTCAAAGTAGAACTGTAATGTACAGAAAAGAGTTCTGTGTGTGTGTGTGTGTGTGTGTGTGTGTGTGTGTGCCTGTGTCTGTGTGTCTGTGTCTGTGTCTGTGCATCTCTGTCTGCATGTGGTGTGGAGATTAAACTCAGGACCTCAAGATGCTAACAAGTGCTCTACCACTGAGCTATAATCCCAGTCCTGGAAATACATATTGTTGTTTTTTTAATAAGATGCTGGCTGATCTTTAAAATTTTTCATTTTTTTAACTTATTTTCTTTTGTGTATGAGAGAGAGAGAGAGACAGAGAGAGACAGACAGACAGACAGAGAGAAAACATGTGCCCTGGTGTACGTGTTGATTCTAGAAGATAGCTATCCAGAATCAATCTTCCTCTTGCCATCTCTGAGATCCAAGTATCAAAGTCAGGTTATCAGACCCGCATGCAAGTGCTTCTGCTCACTGAGCTATCTCATCAGCCCTAGAAATGTATGTTTCTGTTTTTACAAAAGGCCTTCTTCATCAAAATCATTCTGTGTTGGAGTGTCACTCTGGAAGCATGTAATCTAACAGGGGCTAGTATAGAAAGTTATATTTCACATTCCAAGCTTGAACACTTAATCATTAGATGTGTAGTTCTGGCCGGAGAGATGACGCAGCCATTAGAGGGGCTCACAGCCAAAAGACAGGAATGTGTAGTTCCATTTATAAGGAGACATTTGTCATGATACAAAAGTAGCTGCTCCATAGGACTGTAACAGCTGAAGAAGCATCTAACACTTCCTCCTTCTTGCAGTACATGAAGATGATGGGCGTGAACTCGTGCAGCCATTTTTTTGCCTGGCTTATAGAGAGTGTTGGGTTTTTGCTGGTGACCATCATGATCCTCATCATTATCCTCAAGTTTGGCAATATTCTTCCTAAGACCAATGGGTTCATTTTGTTCCTATACTTTTCGGACTACAGTTTCTCAGTGATTGCCATGAGCTACCTGATCAGCGTCTTCTTCAACAACACCAACATTGCAGCTCTGATTGGAAGCCTCATCTATGTCATTGCATTTTTCCCATTTATTGTTCTGGTTACTGTGGAGGATGAGTTGAGTTATGTTATAAAAGTATTCATGGTGAGTCAACTGTTAGAGTGCCCGATGTGATGTAAAGGCCCCTTTAGTTTTCTAATAGCGTCTCAAGCTGAAGGTACTATATAATTAAGAAATTTAGTGAAAGCAAAATAAACAACTGTCCTAATGATAGATTTTATCTGATTGTTGTATACTATGAAAGTAAATGCTATTAAGATATCGTTCCTGAACGGCTAAAATATAACCTACAGTGTTTTAGGACCGTCAAGAATTCTGACTTCGCCAGGCAGTGGTAGCACTTGCCTTTAATCATAGCACTGAGGAGGTAGAGGTAGATGGATCTCTGTGAGATCGAGGCCAGCTTGGTAAATATAGTGAGTTCCAGGTCAGCTGGGGCTACATGGAGACCCTGTCTGAAAAAAGAAAGAAAGAGAAAAAGAGAAAAAATTCTGACCCCTCTGTCGTTCAAATCCTTAAACATCTTAGAACCTCTAGTGTTGGAACTATTTTCATGTATGAATAATGCACACGGTTTTCATGAGTTAAAGCAAATCTTACAGCAAAGATGATGAAGAAACTGGCAGAATATACTCGAATTTGCATTATTTTCTGCTTTTTTGTTTAAAATCACTAAATTAAGAAATGCGGTTCCTTAATGAGGCTGGAGAGATGGCTCAGCAGTTAAGAGGATCCCCTGGAACTGGACGATGGTTGTTAGCCACCATGTGGGTACTGGGACTCGAACCTGGGTAGCCTGCAAGAGCAACTGCTGCTCTTAACTGCTGAGCCATCTCTCCAGCCCACCTTGAGGAGTACCTTTAATTCAGCACTGACTACTCTGGGCTTAAACAAAACTTAAACTTATTTGTGGCAATTTTCAATATTTAACCAATTAATACCTGAATATATTTTCATTCATAATTATTTTATTACCTGAAATAAATTTATAAACATTTTCTGGTCCCTAATGTTATCATTTAATTTGAGACTATTATTCTGTAATTTCTTATAAATTGCTGAGCAACATTACTGAGTTTAAGCATATATCTTTTACAGGCATATATCTAAACATGTATCTTTCCAAGTCATAAGTTTCTAGTATAAGTTTTCTACATCTCTACCTCTTTACTCTTTTTGATTCTCTCTGTTTCTCTCTGTCTCTGTCTCTGTCTCTGTCTCTCTCTCTCTGTCTCTGTCTCTCTCTCTCTCTCTCTCTCTCTCTCCTTCGTGCAGAGTTGTAACATGCTTAGTAAAGGTCCTTAGTACTTTTTTGAGACAGGGTCTCCCTGTAACCCCAGCAGTCCCAGAACTCACTATGTAGACCACACTGACCTCAATCTCACAGAGATCTGCCTGTCTCTGCCTCCTGAGTACTGTGATTAAAGACATGTGCCACCATGCACACCTCTGGGACCTTAGTATCTTAAAATATATTACAGAATGAGCATCATTTTTTTTCTATATATCCAACAACAGTTTAAGCATCTTGAGATCGATCCCTCTGTGTGAAATGTATGAATTTTCTAGAACCGTCACTGTTAATTTCTTCCCAGAGCCTGCTGTCCCCAACAGCATTCAGCTACGCAAGCCAGTACATTGCCCGGTATGAAGAACAAGGTGTTGGTGAGTGCGCATTCTTTAAAATGTTCTATCTTTAACTGTGATGTGTGTCACACAAGAATAAGCATCTGTGTTCAATTTTTAGGTCTTCAGTGGGAAAATATGTACAAATCCCCTGTTCAGGATGATACCACCTCATTTGGCTGGCTGTGCTGTCTAATTCTAGCAGATTCTTTCATATATTTCTTTATTGCTTGGTACGTCAGGAATGTCTTCCCAGGTATGAACTTCCATCCCATAAATAGATGCTTCCTATGGTTGTCATCACTGTAAGTCAACAAATGTATGTGCTGTAATATTTGGCTTTTGTACGTAATCTTCAGAAAGATATACTAAAATCCCTAAATTTATCAAAAATTTTGGATCAAATCCACTGCTGCATTCTATCTCTAATAGTCCTTTTACAAATGGAGCAAATAAAAAAAAATCATGGCATAGTGTCAACTTAGATATCCTAGTCTTTCCACATAGAAACATGCTATATTATAAGGCAAAACCCAGGTCTCTTAATTTAATGGAGAACTGACTACATTCTAGAAGGCAGACTGGACCTCAAGCAGTTATATGTGTTTATGTGTTTTTCCACTAAGCTTTATTTACATGTATAAATCTTTGATGAATAAATGAATAAAATGACATGATTGTACTTGAATAAAGTGATTTAAAAGGTGGTTGTGTGGAGCCAGAGGGCATATCTCTGTTTACCTGGGACTTGGAGTAGGAACAGAGATTATTGCAAATGGATCATGATAAAACTCTGTGGGTTTGTAGAATTATTCTAACACTGGATTATGGTAATTCCTGAATTCATAAATGAACTAAAATTCATTTAACTATACACTTAAGTACATAAATATATAGTATATATTTATACTTAAATGAAGCTGTATTTTCAAAAATAAAAGTTATCTTTTTTGGGTTCAAAACCAAAACCACCTGTTTAGTTTGTATAATTTTTTTAAAACAAAGCTCTTTTCTGAATCATTTACAGTATTCCATTATTTAATTTCTGATGTTTAATGTTGAAAATCAATTAATAATCACTCTTCCTCATCTATTCTCATTACAGGGACATATGGCATGGCAGCTCCATGGTATTTTCCAATCCTTCCTTCCTATTGGAAGGAACGATTTGGATGCATGGAGGTGAAGCATGAGAAAAGCAACGGCCTCATGTTCACCAATATCATGATGCAGAACACCAACCCATCTGCCAGTAGGACGAGTAGGTCGATAGCATGTATCATTTTAAGAGAAATGACATAAAAAATGCATGACTAGTGGTTTAATTACATTTTTCTAAATGCCTAAATTATCATCCCTTTAGTCATGGATGAGTATGTCTACACATATGTCTTTGCACTCTTACGGGGATTGAATTGTGCCTTATTCTGGGCTCATTAGCTCAGTAGGTTAGCATATGGTGCTAATTAGGCCAAGGCTGTGGATCCTTTTGTGGTCTAGTTTGATTCACACAGAGAAAAATTTTGTTCTTTGGCCACAATCCGCTCCCCTTACTCCAGCCATCTGCTTCCAGTCATAACAAGTAACCAAGGAACGAATAGGGGTAATTTAGCATAACCCGTAACTAATGGTAGAAAAATACTGCAAAAGTCAGGCCTCACTGACACTGGGTGAGTACTGTCATCTCCATGAAGTAAGGATGCCCTGTGTAAGTGGCCCTTGGGTGATGCCTAGAGGAAGGACAGATAAGGAAATGAACTGGGTTCTGTAAACCACAGAGCTGAGCTGGCCTTGCCACCGTAAAAATCTCAACTTGCAGACATTCATTCCATAGCTGGTGTCATCCTGCCCAATCGGACAACACAGCTTCAGGCTTATCTTCTGAATATTTAAGATATGTTGAATAAAAGAGAAAAACTATGATACTGTATTCTGGAACTGACTTGTCCAACAGAGAAGTCTGACATAACAAACCCTAGAGAATGAGTCTGTTCATTCATTCCATGAGCAAGTAAGACAGAAACTGAGGACCATAACAAATCGGTTGTTTCTGAACTATTTTTAAACATAATTATATCCATGTAATATTCAGTTTTGAAGAAAATTAACTCTAGCTCTATTTATCTGTGGTCTTACAACTCTTCTCTTGGTTTCTCTCCAGGTCCTGAGTGTCTGTTTCCCTCCAACATTGAACCTGAACCCAAAGATCTCCAGGTTGGAGTTGCCCTTCATGGGGTCACAAAGATCTATGGCTCCAAAGTCGCTGTTAATAACCTCAACCTGAACTTTTACGAAGGACATATTACATCACTTCTAGGGCCAAATGGAGCTGGCAAAACAACAACCATGTATGTTATGTTCAACTTAATGTCAATGAAGGAAATTATTAAACAGATTTATATCAACTAAGCTTTTATATTTAAAAAAAGTACAGCCATGATATTCTCTTGATTGAATGAGATGGTTCAACTTGTACATTATAGAATGAAATCAGAGGGCCCAAACGGTGAGCTCTAAGGCCATCTTGGGCCACCAGAGGGGATGTTTATCTGCTCCACTTAATGGTGGCCTACCCAGTGTGCCTTAAAATGTTTAATTCAGTGCGAATTCCTAATAATGGTCAATATTCTTGGCATGACTTAAAGTAGGAAGTTCTGGAACATAGAATGTTGAGGCATGGATTGTTGTTGGTTGGGCTCATTAAGGATTTTCTGTTCAATCACATGAACTCTCTGGATCATCCCTGGTCATTGATCTGTACTGCTACGTCTGTCAGTCTGTCTCATTTCTTTGCATTTCTATCCAGGTCATGTATAAGTCCAAGTTTTCACATCTGGTATTAGCACACATAGCCTTAGTTGCTCCATCACAAGAAACTTTTGCCTTGATTCATGAGGAAACAGAAGAATTACCAGCATCACCATACATAGGTCAAGATCAAGACCAGTATATGATCTGTACTGCTACGTCTGTCAGTCTGTCTCATTTCTTTGCATTTCTATCCAGGTCATGTATAAGTCCAAGTTTTCACATCTGGTATTAGCACACATAGCCTTAGTTGCTCCATCACAAGAAACTTTTGCCTTGATTCATGAGGAAACAGAAGAATTACCAGCATCACCATACATAGGTCAAGATCAAGACCAGTATATGGGGTTTTCTTTCTTTCTTTCTTTCTTTCTTTCTTTCTTTCTTTCTTTCTTTCTCTTTCCTGACTTTCCTGTGTCAAAAAAGATAAGAATTCCAATATTTTTTTTTATTTTGTAAATTTTTAATTGCGTTTTTGTGTATTTCATAAAGAACATCTTAATTATCTCTGTACCCCCGTCCCCAGTGGCACCTCTCATATGCTCCCCCCACTGAAATTCATGCATTCTGTCATTTGTGTCGTTTCCATGTCCACATTCCCTCAGTGCAAGTTCATCCAGTGACATCTAGTAAGTCTGTCTAGAGTCTTTCCCTTTAAAATGATCAGTTCTTCATCACCCAGGAGTAAAAAGCTGCCAGTAGTTCCTCAGCTAAGATTGGGGCCTGCTGCCCATTTCCACATTTCTGTGTTGGACTTTTCTCTGCTTGAGTTTGCATGAGTCTTGACACCATTGCTGTAGGTTCATATGAGCAAGGTCCCAGGAGCCTAAAGAACTCCATCTCCTTATGCCTGTGCACCTCCTCCCTGCTTCTTACAATCTTCCTACCCACTCTTCCACAGTGGTCCCTGAGCCCTGGGTTGCCTGGAGTTTAATACAGGAGTCCTGTCCAAGGATCCACACTTGCAGGCTTTTATTCACTATGCTTTGGTCATTTGTGACCTTTTGTGTTCCTGGGTCTGTTGCGTGAGGGAGCTTCATTGGTGAGGGATGAGAGATACATTAGTGTTCTCTTTACCCCATGCCTTAAGTGTAGAGGTTGCATTGTTGATATGCCGCTTAACTTGGGCAATTCACAGACAGTCTCTGTGTATGACCAGCTGTGGAACTCTGTAATCTCTGTCTATTGAAAAAGAAGCTTCTTTGATGAGTGGTGCCTGGGATACTTGTCTGTAAATATAAGGATCCATATCTTACACATAGTAAGAAATTACATTTGTATAGGGATGAGACAGCCTTGGGGTTTTTCTCTAAGATCTATGACCTCTCTAGCCATGTGTATTTCGCTATGTTTACAGTACCATACATGAGTTTCCCCATTGAATGGGGTTTAAGTCCAATTAGATAGCTGTTGATTAACCCCCAAGATAAAAGTGCCACTACTGCACCAATGTTGTTTGCTGTGCTCATCACTGATGTGATTATTAAGTCTTAAAGCTAGAATTGAAGCATCGATTGATGTTCTCCCTTACATTATTTTATTATCATTTTTTGATGATTTGCCCCCAATGTTTCACCTTGCTTACTTGGCATCAGTGTTAAGATGCTGTTTAGCTCTAGTCATTCCATTTTGAATCATCTTGAGTAGGTTCGGTGATCGCTCAAATGTTGAAATTAATATTTTGCAAAAAAAATAAATGGAGACAAACGAAGGTCATGACATGAGTGAGCATATAGTACAGTCTCTTATTTGTGTGAACCGTTGAAAGCCAGAGTTGACTTTCTAGGGAGAATACAACACTTTAAAAGTGAGATTTCTAATAGAAGATAAGAGACCAGTGGAGAAAAGGGATAGAGAAGGTGTTTGAAGAGCTTATAATTTTAGCAGAGAATGCTTTATTTTATCAGTCTAGATGTAAACCTTTAAATATAAAAAGGAAGATGCTACTTGTACTTCAGTGGATTTTATGAGAAAATTGTGTATTATAATGATTCGTTATTTAGTACTATGACAGATTGGTGAAAAATCAGGCCCTTTCCCAGTCCTCATGAAGTTTATATTATAATGAAGAGTAGAGGTAATTATTAAATGTGTGCCCTAAGCACTTGAAAGTGATGGGGGTTTATCTAGGTGAAAATACTCCAGTCACAATAGAGAGAAGGGCACCAGAGATGACCAGAGTATTTTGGAAGAAGTAGGCTCTTCCAGATGTGGGCTCTGCAAGTGGTGATGGATGCTGCCCCTGGTGGTAGCTGTGAAAATGGAGAAATGTCAGGGTCAGGAGACCAATACACAAAGGTGCAAAAGTGACTTCTTTCTGAATTGGAGTTTTGTGCAACCAGTTTGCGCATTTATTTCACCTAACGTGAGCAGTAAAAAGATATGGAATTTTGGGTGTATCGTACTGAGTACGAGGACCATGTAAGGCATCTCATAAAGAAGTAGCATCATTTGTTGGGCTGATAGGACAAGCCTGGGATGGAGTGGTGGGATCTGGTCTAGAGATAAAAACTGGATACTTTTCAGCTTATAGTATAGAATTACAAGGAAGCATCTGAATTTTCTCAAAGAGAGTGTGTTCTTTCAATTAAAAAGCACCTTCAATTTTATCATTATTAGTACCACCACAGCCACCATCATGTAGTATTTACACAGCACTCTAGAGGATTAGACACTTAAAAGTCATTTCTACTTTCTCTCCACTCAATACCCTCTTATTTTGTAGCTTGATCTTGCTTATAGAGATATAGTGTAACATTCTTATTTTTTTTTCTAACACATGAGATTTGTTTAGTCTTACTCTTCAGTTCACATGATCGGTCCATACCTAATTTACCGTGTCTTTATTTCCAGCTCCATGCTGACTGGGCTGTTTGGTGCCTCAGCAGGTACCATTTTTGTGTATGGAAAAGATATTAAAACAGACCTGAACACAGTTCGGAAGAACATGGGAGTCTGCATGCAGCATGATGTCTTATTCAGTTACCTCACCACAAAGGAGCATCTTCTCTTATACGGCTCCATCAAAGTTCCTCACTGGACCAAAAAGCAGCTCCATGAAGAGGTGAAAAGGTGAGTTAAGGCAGGAAGAAGTACATGAGTTGCTAACCTGTCCCAAAGCCACATAGCTTATTGGCCAATCTCTGATAATAATTCCAACAGGAAAGAAGCATCTCCCCACAAGCATTTTGTTTTGTTTTTACCTACTTCTCAGTAACATATGTATTTAATGTCATCATTCTCTCCAGTTAGTCACCCAGGAATTTGCCAACTCTTCTTTGTGGCTCTTAATGCTGGCCCTAATCCAATCCTCTCTTTCATTTCTACATGGATGAACACTGGTCCAAGCCTGTTAACTGGACTCCCAGCTCCCTCATTTTATCCATTTTTATTAAAGAGCTGAGAGCATGATCTTTGTCAGTTGCAAATTAGACCACGTAATTTCTGCATTGCCTCAAGTGGCTTTTGCCACACTCAGCATAACACTCCGTAATGCCATTATCAAGGCCCTCATATCCTCCATGACCTGTCCATCTCACATCTGACTATTGCCTTTCACTCTCTCCAGGCACTCTGCTCTGGCCACATTAGCCTTCATATACACTTGACTACACACAACTGGCTCCTGCCACAAGCCTTTCTATCTACTCTTCACTTAACATACCACACCCTTCTCAGCCATTTCACCTACCACAGGCCAAATGACCTTTTCCTGATCTCTCCTTCTCTGACAGTGTCTGCTATATATAAAATAGAAGTCTAAAGGAGCACAACCGAGGCACTCTTCCTCATACAGTCTCTTTATTTTGTGCTGATTACCACCAGGCATATTGTAACTTGCTTGAGATTGTGTTTATCTACTGGATTTTCCTCATATTCCTGACACATGCACATGTATATTGAAACATAATCACCTTATGAGTAGGAATTTTGATTTGCTCATTACTTTTCTCCAGGACCTATGACATGATCTGGCACAAAATAGTCAGATGTTCTAACCATTTGTCAAATGAGTGAACTATATATGTTCTCTTATGTTTCTCTTAGCATTAATTTTATGCCAGTAATTAGATGATAAATGGTAATGAACTATTTTGTATTCTCAGTACTGTATTATACCTTATTGAAAACATGTACATTGTTTAAGGAATCCAATAGCCATCATTCATTATTTTTTGAAGGACTTTAAAAGATACTGGACTGTATAGCCATCGTCATAAGAGAGTTGGAACATTGTCAGGAGGAATGAAGAGGAAATTGTCTATATCCATAGCTCTCATTGGTGGATCAAGGGTAGTAATTTTGGATGAACCATCCACTGGAGTTGACCCATGTTCTCGTCGAAGTATATGGGATGTTATATCCAAAAACAAAACAGGTATGATATGTTTTCCTAACTTCTCCACTGAACAGTCATAACCTACCCTCTGGGTTACACAAAAGCAATCTGAAGCCTTTTCTGTTTATAATAGCCTTTAAATGTGTGAGATAGGTTCTTTCTTTTCCCAGATTTCTCTTCTCTAAGGTAAATTACTGGGTCAATTCATTGAAATACCTGTCCAGGATTTACTGTGAGTTGGGACTTGTGCATGCTGTGATCATTGCTATGAATTCATATAAATAATTTTCCAAATGTCTGGTAAACTCTGTTTCTTTGTGGTCATCCACCCCCTCTGGCTCTTACAATTTTCTCACCACCTCTACCACAATGATCCCTGAGCCTTGGGAGGTAGAAGTTGGGTACAGTATCCAGTTCAAGATAATTACTCTGTAGTCTCTTATTCTCTGCACATTGTCCACTCGAGGGTTTCTGTGCTAATCACCATCTACAGCATAAGGAAATTTCTTTGGTGAGAGCTGAGAGATACATTAATGTATGGGTATAATAATAAATTATTAGAAGTCACTTTAATAATATATATATTATATATGGCAGATATATATATATATATATTTATATATATATGGCAGAATAGTTGTATTAGGCTTTCCCCTATGGCTTGTGTCCTATCTAACCACATGTTCTTAGGCCTGATATCAGTGCCAGGTATAGACTCTGTCTTATGAAACAGACCTTAAATCCAATTAGAAAGCAATCAGTTACTCCCATAATATACACACCACTATTACACCACAGACAGGTATTTCTGAGAGTATGTAGACCCAACAGATGCCTCAAAGTTTGCCTAGAGAAGCATGCAATATAATTAGAGATACGAAATGTACACAGGTGAAAGTAAGCTGAAAACAGACTAAATAAGTGCTAACAGGACGTGAGGCCAAGGTACAGTGGAGCAGACTACTCAGAGAGGAATATTTAAAAAGTCTTTAAAATCATTGCTTTTTCATAGTGAGGGAAGGGGGAGAAAGAGAGCATGTGAGAGAGTGAGAGAGTGAGACAAATGAGGGAGAAAGAGAGAGAGAGAGTGCAAGCTGAAGTTTTGGGAGCAAAATTCTAACAGATGAGAAAGAGCCACCAAAGCAAATGATGTTCATCAGCAGTAGAGCAGAGTGAACGCTTACTGCCAATTATACATAAACACCCCCCTATATATTTGAGTCCCCTTCTGAATTCCCTTTGATCGTTTTAGACGTTCCTCTGTACAGTGTTTATTCTTCCCAATCAGCTCATAAAATGTCACTCTCGTTCTCATAGGGCACTGGATTTACTCTAAAGTCACAGAGCGTGTGACTTTAAAAGATGCATGTGTTATATTAGGGAGGTTTTTGACTGACATCATTTATTTACTCTTGGGGGCTGTATTTCCGGTTTTCATGGTCTGTCGTTTTCAACTGTATTTTCAAGCCAGAACAATCATTTTGTCAACACACCACTTGGATGAGGCTGAAGTGCTGAGTGACCGCATTGCCTTCCTGGAGCAAGGTGGGCTCCGGTGCTGTGGATCCCCGTTTTACCTCAAGGAAGCCTTTGGGGATGGGTACCACCTCACACTCACCAAGAAGAAGGTTGGTAGGAGAGGAAACGCGCAGATTGTGGGCTTATAAGTTCATTGCTTTTATAAAATGGAAACACATTTTCCCCAATTTAATTCATTGATAAAATTCATCAATATGACAGCTTAAACGGTTTTTAAACCTCAGCAAGCATCTTGGTAAAGCACTCAGATTATTGCTCCCTTCCTAACAGTGTCTGATTCAGTAGATCTGGGTTAGATCTCTGGAATCTGCTCAGTTTCTAGTGAGTTTCCATGTGTTACCAATGCTGCTGGGCTCTGCACAAAATGATGTCCATCTAAAGGTTACTGGTAAACAGTCAGCCGTTTAGTTTTCCTAACTCTTTAGTCTATGCGGCTAAATTTAAGTTTTCTCACTTGCGGAGAGCAGACGAAAAGAATGGATGAAGTCATGTTGGCTTGGTTATGAGGAGTGCATGAATGCGAAGCGGAGTCTGTGGTTGAGGTCACCATCTAAATGACAAAAGAACCTCCTAGAAGAGCATGTGACTTTAAAAGATGTATATATTAGGAAGGTCTCAAATCATTCATTCCATATGTAACTTATCTTGACATGACTTCCAAAATATAAAAAGTGATTCATCATTTTATTAAGAAATCCATGCATTGGGAAAATATATTGAATGACATACTCAATTATTAGTCTAGGCATTGAGGCTGAATCAGTGAAGTGGTGCTATGAACTTCATATTCTGACCAACTTTGTAATGATGAAATGTAAAAAATTCAGATGTTACAGTCAATACGTGAATTGTTTCATGCATTAGCAATTAATAAATAGTAAACCAGTATATGTGTTTTTAAATGTAGGCAGAAATAGACCAGGAGTAGGAAAGAAGGAATGATTGGTAGTGTAGTTTTTAAGTTGTGGGAGGAAGTTCTAGTTTAGCCATGAGTTGGAGTGAGTGAGAGCGTGGGGCATGTTACTGTCTGGAAACAAAGACTTTGAAGACAGCATGTGCCTGAGCCTGATATACCCTAGCAACAAGAGACAGAGAGCTGACACTAGAGTAAAGCAAGGAGGAGAAGGGAGGGTGGGCAGTAAGGGTGATGAAGGTGGAGTGGGAGAAGGGATGGAAATAATGACTTATAGGTGACCATAGGGTCCCCACGTGGGACAGGGAACACTAGTGGGATGATATGTGATCTGACTCCAGGCTGAAATGACCCCTGGGATTATTTCCCTTGGGCTCTACAGTGTATAGAGGAAAGCTTGCTTAACTTTCCATTTTGTCTGTAGAGTCCAAATCTAGATTCAAATGCAATATGTGACACGATGGCTGTGACATCCATGATCCAGTCACACCTCCCCGAAGCCTACCTCAAGGAGGATATTGGGGGAGAGCTTGTGTATGTGCTCCCTCCATTCAGCACTAAAGTATCAGGAGCCTACCTGTCACTCCTGAGAGCACTGGACAAGGACATGGGTCAACTCAACATTGGCTGCTATGGCATTTCAGACACTACTGTTGAAGAGGTACATGGACATTTCTTTATTGTGTGTATATGTATGTATGCATGTATGTATGTATGATGTGTGTATGTATATATGTATGTCTGCATGCATGTATGTATTTGAAGTGCTAGGAAGAGAAGCCAGCACTATGAGCACAGGCAAATGCTGTATCTCTAGACTTTATCCCCACTATGTGTGTCTGTGTGTCTGTGTGCACATACACTTGTGTGTGCATGTGTGTGGAGGCCAGAAGACAATCTTGGGTATCATTTCTCAAATGTCCACCTTGTTTCTGAGACAAGGTCTCCCACTAGCCTGGACCTCACCATGCATGCTAGACTGGCCAGCTAGTGCGTCCCAAGGATCCGCATAGCTCCACCTCCCTGGTGCTGGCATTGTACATGTGCACCGTGACATTGAGCTTTTTAAACGTGGAATCCTGGGGTTAAACTCAAGTCCTTATGGCACTTTACTGCCTGAACTGCATCCCTAGTCCCCTACTACTTTATTTTCTTTGATGTTGATATGATTTGTTATGCCCTTAAAATAAAGGATTTTTTTCTAAAAAATGAAGTACTTTAAAATAAATGTTACAAAAATCAGAAAATCTTAAAAATCTCAGTACCATTCTAACAGAATACTGACTTCTGAGAATAAAATTTTTTTTCAACGTTATTTTATCCCAAAGATGACAACAACTATCTTTTATATGTAAAGATATTTTCTTGAAGTCAGATGGTAAATATTGTCTTAATAAATGTGATAATAATTCAGAATTAAAATTGAGGTCAAAATGAAAAGAGACATGTACTCTTGTTAATGAAATAGTCTGACTTTTCTTTCTAGGTCTTTTTGAACTTGACAAAGGAATCACAAAAAAGTGGTAATATGAGTCTTGAGCACTTAACACAGAGGAAAGTTGGGAATTCCACTATCAATGGCACCTCGACTCCTGACGATTTATCTGTGAGCAGCAGCAACTTTACAGACAGAGATGGTACAGATCTAACCTGTATATTTTGCTTAATTTTTGTAAATCACATAGTGAGAAAAATAGCAGATTTTCATTTTTTTTAGAATTCAACTTTGAAATTTGTTTTAAAATTCTGAGACATGAAAGTATCCTTTCAATATACAAAATATTCATTATCACAGACCATAAGACAATGAAAGCAAAGTGAACATGGAAAATACCCTGGATGTTGCTGAGAAATGCTCCCTCAACTCCCCAAAAGCAGTTTTCTGCATGTAATTTTCTATAATTTCAGATGTGCTTAACAAGTTGATTCTTCCTACAATTGGTGCTGTCCAGCAGAGGGCAAAAGTGTCTCCTGAGGTAGTGCACTTCTATTATTAGGCCAGCACAAGGGAAACCAAAGTCATTTTAAAAAATATATTTTATTTTTTATTTTTATTTTATGTGTATAAGTGTATTGTTTACATGTACGAAAGTGCACCCATGTCATGCAATGGCTGCAAGAGGTCAGAAGAGGGCATCAGATCCCCTGGAACTGTAGTTACAGACAGTTGTTATCTGCCATGTGGATGCTGGGAATTGAACCCACATCCTCTGCAAGAGCAGCGAATACTTTGAACTGCTGAGCCATCTCTCCAGCCCCAAAAGCAAAGTCATTTTTATAAAAGTGAAAAAAGGAGTCACCCTTTTTAAGGTACCTCACTAGAGAAGACATCTAGCTTCTTCCCAACTCTGAATCACTTGGGGGGGGGGGGGGGCAAGAAAATGCTTTGTTGGGGCTGGAGAGATGGCTCAGTGGTTAAAAGCACTGACTGCTCTTGCAGAGGACCCAGGTTCGATTCTCAGCACGCACATGCGGCTACAAACCATCCTTAACTCCAGTTCCAGGGGAATCTGACACCCTCTTCTGACCTCCACAGCATTGCACGACATGGGTGCACTCACATACATGCAGGCAATATACTCATACACATAAAATGAAAATAATTAATAAAGATAATTAAAAAAAGAAAAAGCTTTATTTGGGGCAAGATGTTTGACTTGTATCAGTATCTGTATCAAAAGGTTTTGGGGGGTTGAAGAAATAGCTCAGCTGTTTAGAGCACTGGCTGTTCTTGCAGAGGACCCAGGTTTTGCTACCAGCACCCACATGGCAGCTGACCATCTGCAACTCCAATCCAGGGGCTCTCAATGTCTTTCTGGCCTCTGTGGGCATTCCATGCATAGGTGTACTTCCATACAGACAAAATACTCAAATAAAAACAAACAGATAAATAAATGTTTCCTCTTTAACTTTTCACATGGGATATGTTTAAAAACTCATGTTTTTTGACACGAATTTGAGGGGTTCAGCTCTTTGAAAAAATGGCTTTTATTGTCATTTAGTCTCTTTCTAACAGTTAATTTAGACTTCTGGAAACACTATGTACTTGAGGAAGCATGCAATAAGATGACATATGAATTGTAGAGCAGACATTTCAACAGTTTGCTTAAATTGGGAAACATCTCTAGGAACAGAACTTTTAATTAAACATTTGCCTGTCTCTAAAACTCAGAAAAGCCCAGCTCTGATGTTTGGTTAATTCTGGAATCTGAGTCTCATCTGTCCTCTGCCACATTCCTCGTTTATCATCTGTTGCGGGTTATAATTGCAGAGTCCGAGGAATTGAGAGCTTTGATTAGAAGGTGGTCATCCGCCTCAGGAAGCAAATGCTGTGTATTTGCCCCTGCATTTTCCTCACAATTCGAAACTATTCTTCATTCCAAATGTTCCCCTCATTGACATTATCTTTGAGAAAGCACATTTACTCCATTTTGATACACCTGTAAGTCATCCACATGTAATTTCTCAAGAAACAGAAAAGCATACTAATTAACTCAAAATATTCAGCTCCTCGTACAATTCCCTTTTGCAGGGATATGAGTTTGCATTTAAACTTGTTCACTCTGTTTAATTGGAATTCATTTTAAATTAAGCAGCTTTGTATTTTTCCTTATCAGCTAAATGAAGATCATGATTTTCTGTGCTGCATAATTTGTGATGGAAATTTTTAAATGTACACAGAGTTGATGAATACCATCGTCTTATCATGTGTGAAACATGTGTGGTGGCAAGCCTTTGGAAAGAATGCTATATATGAACCTACACTGGAGAAAGCTGCTGAAGTTATTAGCCCCAAGGGCTCCACCAGCAGTTACCTTAGCTCCCCTGGTTCTCAATAGCAATGTAGATATTTTTTAGCCTTTGGAGAGCATGTCAAAGTCAGGGTGGGAGCCAGACATATTTGCAATGAGTCCTTTTTGGAGACACTAGTGGTAAAAGTGAAGTTTTGAAAGGTTATAATCATTCCAAATTTCTGAAGAGTGTTGAATGAGAATTACACCTCGAAGAAGAGTCACTTTTCCAACACCTAGAGTGAATTCGTTGGAATGCATGTTGGAGCATCAACAACTAGACTAACCATCCGAGTTATAATGGAAATGAGTTCTTACCCTAGGTTGATGTTTTAGTTTCTATTGATAATACTTGAATTCAATCTTGACAAAACTATTTCCTGTGTATTCATACTTAGTAATTACATACCTGCTCTGCATTGAGACTTTGGAGTGGGGGAAAAAGTTCATTTATAAACTTCTGAATATATTTAACTTTTCCATGTAAAATTAGCATATAGATGTATAATAATATTTTGTGCCAGTAAGTTATAATTTTCAAAGCACTTTATATACATCTATATATGAGGTACATATTGTGGTCCCAATTTGGGGCAACACTGAGAAATGGATTTACCAAGCCCCCACTCTGAATATTGAAAATAGAAGCTTTTCCCATCCTACCACATGATACCACACATTCATGCTTTGTGACGTTGTAATACAACTTGGTTTATATTGATTTCCCAGAACCATATCAAATCTCTCCTCCTTCCTCAGACAAGGTCCTGACAAGAAGCGAGAAGCTGGATGGCTTTGGACTATTACTGAAGAAGATAATGGCTATTCTCATCAAGAGGTTCCACCACACCCGCAGGAACTGGAAAGGTCTCATTGCTCAGGTCATCCTCCCCATTGTCTTCGTGACCACTGCCATGGGCCTTGGCACACTGAGAGATTCTAGCAACAGTTATCCTGAGATCCAGATCTCTCCATCCATTTATGGGACCTCTGAACAGACAGCCTTCTATGCGTGAGTTGTTTTCAAATAACTAAGATTGTTTCCATGGGGCTTTGACAGGTGTGTCTGCACCTGAATGAAGGGCATGGGATAGAGAGGAATGCAGAGCTTAGAATTCTGCTAAGGGAGTGACAGTTTAGTCTACTGAAAAGCTACTTCTATCCCCAACAAGTAACTTCTAAAGCATGTTTACATTCATCCACAAATAGGGTGCGTATTTATTTTTAATGACTAGATTTTAATTAAGAAAGCCAAGTTATGTTTTGCTTTCCAATTTATTTTAATATATGGAAAATAATGTTTTGTTTGCCTGGCAAATACTGACTAGCAGTATTAGATTTCTGTGTAAAATAATGAGATATATGCAATATGTGATCACTAAATGCATGTCGTGGGAGAATATCAAGGCAGCAAAGGCTGCATCATTCATAGATTTTTAAGAAAATAATCCTCCATGCGAAAGCTCTTGCCTAGAATATATGTGGATCTGGTTCAAACCCCAATAGAAGAGAAAGGGAGAGAGGGGAAGCAGGAACAGAGGAAGGGAGGAAGGGAAGGGAAAAAGCCATATGGATGGCATAATTTCATGTGTTCAAGTTACTAGTGAGGAGTCTGTGTTGCTTAATATTTCAGGAATTTTGATCCAAGCACAAACAGGCTGGTCTCGGCACTATGGAACTTCCCTGGCATTGACAACATGTGTCTGAACACTAGTGATTCGTGAGTGGCTATTGATCTTTGTTTTCACTTCTTTTCAACATTCCCGTTTGTGTGAGTGTGTGGGAGCGCTTGAGGTGCATGTGTGCTATTTGGCTGGAAAAGGGTAACACTCTGATAGACAATCTGTGTCTAACAGATTTTTGTACAGTTCTTTTAGACCTTCCCTGGCCATGCTATACCATAATAGTGAACACTAGGGTTCTTATATTTATACATCTCTTTTGTATACATACTTATATTTTACAATCACAACCTTGTGAATGATTAGTCCATTTCATTTTTAAGGATTTATTTATTTTTATTTTATGTATATATGTGAGTTTCTACATGTATGTTAGATCCCCTGGAACTGGAGTTATAGGCAACTATGGGCCAATATATGGGTGCCAAGATCCAAACCCAGGTCCTCTGCAAAAGCACTGAGCCATCTCTCTAGCTCCATTAATCCCATTTTACAGACAAAGAAACTAAAAGACTAAGTTATTTGTTTTAGGAAGTCTAGATTGTAAGATGTGAAGATAACCTGAGATCCAAGTTTTCTAACTCCAATTCCAGTGTTTTTGTACTATGTGGTGTAACTTATTTAAACATTCAAGATAGTACATAATATATATTAATCTGATCTTGGTATATTATTATGACAAAGCCTCCCCTTCCTGTTAGCAGAGAGGATGGGACGAACAAAGAGAGCATGAGGAATGTAATCCCTGTCCTGCTCCAGCAAGACAGTTCAGAGCTAATAGATGCTCTCCCGCAATCCCCCCACCAAAATGTCAATGCATATCTAAGTTACAGAATATCAATTGTACCTAGCTTTATGCACCTGAATTTAACAACAAATATTTATTTATATGCTCCTACACAAAGATGAGACCATGTGCACATGTACACACACGCACACACACACACACACAAACTTCATTCCAATATTATTTTCATTTGCAGGCAATGTTTAAGACAAGATGAACTGGGAAAATGGAACACCAGTGGAGAACCTACCAGCAATTTTGATGTTTGCTCCTGCTCAAATAACATCCAGGTAAAAGAGAAGTCAGTTCAGTAAAGCAGGAAAAATCAGAGAATAACTATTAAACTTGGAAGATTTGTCCAGATTACCAAAGAGTCAGTAAAATTCCATTTTATTGAAGACAGTAGCTCAGAGTTATGGACCTGGACAGCTCAAAAATATTGACCTTGAACTTCAGGTCACTGTTTTAAGTCCAACTCGGGACAAATATCCAAAGGCAGGTGATGATCTTTGTGGAAACCATCTCAAAATGAATTTTTGATCTTGGTTCAGTTCTAGCTAGAAAGCTCTGTTTCACGGGACAAAAAGTGACCATAACTGTTGTACTTGAGGGTATAGTGGCACTGCCATTATAGCAGTCAGCTGGAGCATCAGGCACAGGCCAGGCTAGACAGGAATTGCATGTTTCCAAACAGCAGCTGAAGGTATTTCTTTCAGGAAAAATTATTTCCTGAAAGAAATTTTAAACATCCAATAGCCACTCTTTCTATGTTCTATAAATACACATCTTAGAGTTCTAAGCTTTTCAACTCAAACTCTTAGGAGATCTAAATTAACTGGACAAGTTCAAAATTCCTGATTGGATCACTTATGTGTACCTTGTACATGACATATATCTAAACAGAGCATTCTAGAGGAGAGATGACATTGTCAGAATTTAAATAAAAATTATAACCATTATATCACATAAATTTATATAATTAAGCGGAACAACTTACATTTTTAAATTAAAATATTGAAGTGAAGTAAAGTCGCTATTATCTTCTCAGCATCACTAAATCAACTTATTTTCTCGTACTGGAAGAATCTAGCAATATTTTCTTTGAAGTGTCATATGATTGTACCCTGACCTTAGTACAATCTTTTAGAATGAAAATAGTTTTGGTGAACACATCCATTTTACTGTTTCATGAAAGATAGTTACTAACAATAAGAACTAGATTCCAGAAAGATCTTTTGGAATCCTTTAATTTTTAAAAATTAGTCTTATCTAGTACTTAGAGTTTTCTCCTTCTTTAGCAATTTAAAAAAAAATTCTTATATTTTATTTAGTTCTCAAGATCAACTAACTTAATAGTTAAAATTGGAAGCTAAATAATTTTTATTAATCCAAAAACCATGAAAAATTTTAATTTTTCTGTCAATTGATTTCCAATTATTTAATAATCATAAGTCACTTTGCATAATTGATGCTGCGTATGTCAGACATATGCTGTGTAAAGTAAAGCTCTAAGATTTTGGAGGAAAACAGGTATATACATCAAAAACACAATTAAGAAAGTAAAAAGGAAATTCCAAAAGTGGAAGGTGATATTCACAATATTCAATAAAGGACGTATTACAGAGTATATGTAAATAACTCTTGTTAATTGGCAAGAAAAACATAGATATCCCAGTAGAAAAAAAAATAGCAAGACACATGAAGGACCCTTTCATAAAGACAATATCCAGTGGTCAATAAACATGTGAAAGAATTATGGACCTTCTCCCCCAGCTCTTACAGTCTTTTTACACCCTCTTCTGCAATGGTCCCTGAACCCTGGGTTCATTGCCCTCTGTTGCATGAAGGAGATTCATCGATAAGAGTTGAGAGATGCATTAATATTCTCTTTAGGCTTACTAGACCCCAGTGGATGAACTTGCACTGAGGGACATCAGGGGACACTAACTTGACTCGTGGGGGGAGGTTATAGGAGGGTACCAAGGGGGAAAACGGTATAAAGAGGAATAAGATGTTGTGTATGAAATACACAAAAATTCAATTTAAAATATATTTTAAAATATGGGGAAGGGTAGTCATCACTTGCCACAAACTAAAGTCACAAACCACTACCACCGTACATTCACCAGAATGGCTAAAATGAAGGAGGAAAATTTCAAGTGTTGCCAAAGATGTGTAGGAGCCATAATTGCTGTGTTATGTTGATAAGAATTTATTGTGGTCAAGGTTTAAAATTGGCATATGATATATATTACTATATTTGGTGGTATAGTAGCATATAATACGGCTGAAAATAAATATGTGCTGTGGGACTTGCAATTCCGTTCCTGTTTCATACCTACCCTTTGCAAACGTGACTAGCTTCCCCAAGAAGCAAATATTGGAACACTCAAAATATCAAGATGCTAGTCACCCAAATGTCCACCAACAGTCAACAGATAAATCAAATATAATTTCCTCAGTATAATACAGAAAATGGGAATGACTGATCTACAACTATACATATCATGTGCAGGAAAAAAAACTCAAAACATCAGACAAAAAAAATAAAACTGACATTTTTCAATTTATATAAAATATTTAAAATAGATGGATCTGGAAATCATCATGTTAAGCAAAATAAGCCAGACTCAGAAAGACAAATGTTGGTGTTTTCTCTCATATGCAGAATCCAGATGTATACCTGTATTAAAAACTCCTCTGTGTTCCTTTGCAGATAGTCCTGATTTGAAAGTAATGTGAGGTGGAGGTTTTCAAACTGATGTGGTTCTGTCTTCTGTTTAGCTGCTAGTTACATAGATGTGTTCAGTTTGTCAAGATTCCTCAAGCAGTACCTTCATAATGCATGTGTTTCTAGCTATGTCTATATAATTTGATAAGAAGCTAAGCTTCAGAATTATACTGTCTACATGAAGGTACCTTCCTCCAATTTTTGGGAAGGCAATGCTGTTCTGAAGTTTGATCTTTACGTTGATGCAGCTTGATGTAGGTGAAATCCAGCCTTGACATTTCCAAGCAACCTGCAACTTTCTATAGCAGACGTGTGGTGCTAGCCTCTGGCTCTGGAACAGTGTGAGTGATAAAAGGAAGAGCTAGTGATGTTAGACTTTCTCCAGATTAAATATCATGGCAACGAAGCTTCAAAAGCTAAATGAGAAACAATTGTCATAAATGTAGAAAGCTATAAATGTAAAAGTAAGTGTATAAAGTAAGCTGTAAAGCTGGGAGTGGTGGCACACATGTAGAATCTCAGCACAGGAGGTGGAGGCAGGAGGATCAGAAGTTCAAGGGAATTCTCAACTGCATAGTAAGTTCAAGGTCACCATGGGCTACATGAAATCTTGTCTTAAAACTGCAAATTAAGAAGTAAATAAAAACATAAGCACCAAGAAAATGTCCATGGTAGTACTAAGATGCTCGCTGTGGAGTACCATGCGCGAGGGGATGCAGGCACTCTTGGTACTATATTTGTGACTTTTCTGTAAGCCTAAAAGAAGTTCCTCAATAAATAAGTGTACATATATAACTAATATGTGAAATGTATATGTAAACCAGTATATTTAATGAAGTTCTTACTCCTAGATTAGATAGCTAAAACTAATGGGTTGTTAACTTCCAATTCACTGAGAAGTTATTTCTCATAATGTTATCTTTTTAATTTAGGAAGACTTTTTTTCATTCACTAAAAATTCTTGAGGGAACTTTGAAGTTTCTCTATGTTCATATTATTCTTTAAAAATATTACCTTGTCAGGACAGTAAAAGAAGGATCATACATTTTTTAGCTTGTGCTATTCTTGGCTATAAGTTAGTCCTGAACACATATTTGTATTCTTCAAATAATAACTGTTCTAATTTCTTAACAATAGGCAAGTTAACTTTTTGTTTAAAGTTCCCAAAGTCAAAGGAGTTTTCTTGTATTCTAGCCATTGTAGTAATAAACTAACAACAATACAGAAATTTCTTCTTATTGTCTGTTTAATTTACATAGTATAGGTGGAAAAACTTCATTTCTACTTTTATTTTCCAGGACTGTCATAACATTAACTATTCTCCGCCTCATAGAAGAACTTATTCTTCCCAAGTTATTTATAACCTCACTGGGACCCACATGGAAAATTATCTTATATCAACTGCAAATCATTTTGTGCAAAAAAGGTGAAATACTGTTTATAACATATTTAATGACTTTCTGAGTTTTATGGTAACTGGCTCCTAAATTTGAAATAGTAGAGGCAACGTAATTTATATAGTTAAATTTATAATTGATTGGATCACTGATGTGTTTGTTTATATGGTTAGAGTCTTCATTTTATATAAAGAGCCTATGTGTTGAATTTAGGTAATGACAGTAAATCAAGATTCAAGTGTGGAAACTAAAACACATTGGATTTTGGAGTCTTATAATGTATTGTTGAATGGCCCAGAGTGGTGGTGCATGCCTTTAATCCCAGGATTTACCTAGGAGGCAGTGGCAGGAGGATCTCTGTGAGACCAAGGTCAGCCTGGTTTACATAGTTAGTTCCAGGCCATCTGTGACTACAGGAAGACCCTGTCTCAAAAAGACCAAAAAAAAAAAAAAAAAAAAAAAAAAAGAATTAGCCAACTCTAAGTGACACAGCTACAATGGAACCTCTACAGCTAAGGCTCATAGAATATAGTGGAATAAGGGGTAGAGAGAATACTAAAGCATCTCAATTCTTATCCAATGAAGCTCCCACATACAACAGAGGGCCATGAACACTAAAGGACACAAATGGTCAAAGTGTAGAGAATAAAAGTCTACAGAGTGTGGGTCCTTGGACAGGACTCCTATTTATTTTATCTATCTATCTATCTATCTATCTATCTATCTATCTATCTATCTATCTATCATCTATCTATCTATCTATCATCTATCTATCTATC